GGTGGGCGCCGCGGGGCGGCCCCGGGCTTCGGCCGCTCCCTGCCCCACCCTTTCGCCACCACGCCCTCCTTTTGGGCCATCGGAGGAGAGTTTCGCTGTGACGGCGACCCTGTCCAGCCCCCGGGCCCCCAGACGCCCCGCCACGCCCACCTCTGCGGCCGGTTCAGCTCCGATGTCCGCCCCCCCCTCCAACCCCCAACCGGTCCCACGCCTGTGACCACGCCCCGCCCCTCTCAGGTTTCCAGCCGCCCGCCCCGCGCGGCCGCCTCCGCTCCCGGAGCGCCAGGGTGCGTGGCTCTTGCGCCCTCTACCGGCCGGGTGTGCGGGGGTGAGGGAGCCCTCCCCCCTGGAAATCCTGGACAGGTAGTCAGCACCCAGCACCGAAAACACCTCGGAGGGTAGGAAAGACCACCTCCTTTACTTCCTTTCAGTTGCTTCCTAGTTCCTTCAGGAGCCTTTTAAAAACTGATCCCTTTTAAAACTAAAACACAGCGCACTCCCTCCTTCGGCCTCGCGTACGAAAGGAGCTTCCACAGGACCGCCCTCCACTTGCCACAGCCAAACCTACACTCCTACCTGCGGCTGCTCCACCCTCCTGACAGGGGAGGTGTGGATCGCTTCCCCCTCCTGCCTCTGCCCCCAGTCTGGTTTGGCAAGTCTCACAACGCCTCCCGGCCTGCCTCTGCCAGGTCCCATTCATGTTCCCTGGCCCAGTGCAAATGCATGACAGCTCTGCACCGGAGTGACGGACGAATGGGGATGTATGCAGTGTCTTGGATGGATTGGTAATATTATTTCATTTGTTTTAATTCTTGAGCCACCTTGAAGGTAGATATTATTACCCCTTTCATGGGTCATGAAGATAAAGCACACAGAATTGGATTATTCATAACCTTTTATGCATGACACATTCTCTGCAGTTATTTATTGACTTCCATGAAAAACCGAAACAGCTAGGACCTTTATAGTATCCTGCATCTCATTATATAGTCTCCCCACCCATTCTCCTACTGCTCCACATCACCTCCTGTGCCCATCATTCCCTTTTTATATAGCTTTATTGCATCTGTAGGTTTCTTTAAAGTATACGTTTTAATTTTAATTGTTTTTAATTTAATTTTAATCTAATTTAATTTACAAAAAGGGATATAATTGCTGTATATAATTTGGGGGACTTGTTTTTACTTAATATTATGCTGCTGATATTTACCCATATGTTAGCGGAGTGCATTCTGGCTGCGTGAAATATTCCAATGTGTGAATATAGCATTCATCTGCTCTCCAGTGGATGGGCACTTGAATGTTTCCAGGTGTTTGCACTTGTGACTAGTGCTGCGCTGAGTGCTGTGCACACTCCAGTGCACATTTGCAGAAGTGCTCGGGGCAGTGGGCCATGTGGCTACTCAACATGAGTAGGCATTATCAAGCTAGAATAGAGTGTCTTTTCTGCTTTTCATCTTCACCCGAGTATGTTTTTCCGTTGATTTTTTAGACATGACACGTTTTTGTGCAATATTTTGAAATATATAATAGGTGTGAGAGAAACACATTGATTGGTTGTCTCCTGCACGCCCCCTGATCAGGGCCGGGGAGGAGCCTGCAACCAAGGTAGTGCCCTTGACTGGAAACAACCCAGGACCCTTCGGCCTGCAGGCTGACCCTGTCCACTGAGCCAAACCCGCTAGGTGTTTCGATGATCTCTGCTTTTCCTTTTCTAAAGTGCCTCTTTGTGCCTCTTACCTGTTCTTCTGTTGGGGTATAATACTTCGTGGTACTTCATGAAAATTCTGCTCTAACCTTCCCAATGCTCAACACCCTGGTGGCCTAGGGAGAGCTGGTGTTTTTTTACAGGTAAGGAAACGGAGGCTCAGAAGTGAAGGGGTTGGCTAAAAGACACGGCTTAGCGACAGCCCTTCTTTACTGAGCTCACGCCTCCTGAGGCCACTGCGCTTCGGCTCAGAAACCTTCTCGGCCCTTCACGCTCTGCAGGGACCCTGTGGTCCCCGCATCTGCTGACCATTCCATGAGCTTATTGTCTCCCTGAGGAGACCTTCTGTGCCCCTGGCCCTCTGGATGTTTTTCTGGACTCTTCTCTCCAATTGTAACGATCCAGATGTGGTTGTGGTCATTTCATTCTTGTCATTCTCCATCGGACTAGGAAGTCCCCGAGGACAAGGACCCATGACCAGCATGATGCCTGGAATACAGTAGGTGCTCAATAAATGTTTACTGGAGGAATTGTCTGTTTCCTTGTCTGCATCCCCAGCCCCTGGATCCTTTCTGAGGGTTGTTGGGTCTGGGTCTGAGCTGCCTCAGGGTTCCCAGCACCACCACCACCTCCAAGGGGCACAGGGAATGTTTGTTAAAAGAATGAGGGAGGGAGGAGGCAGCTGCATGCATTGCTGGGGACAGATCCAGTGCCCCCAGGCCTTTCCTGCTTTGAATGGAGATCTCCCCAAATCAAGCCCTGGTTTCTGACTCTGGCTCCCCCATGTTGGCACGCCCCTTTTCTGTACCCCCCTTCCCCCACCCTCAATTGCTGACCTTCTTCCCTGAGCCTGGTCTCCCTCAGAACCATCCTTTCTTTACTTTACCCATCACTTAAACTCTCTTTCCTCCAGCCCTCCCTCCCTCACCCAACTCCACTGCCTCACCCCATCACCATAATTCAGAGACACGCCCCCCCTTCCACCTTCCCCTCTCCGGTCCCCTAATGCTGGTGTCCTAGGACTCTATTCAGCCCCCTTCTTACTTTCTTCTTCAAGAAGCCTATCCACCCTCTCAGATTCCAGCCAAAGGTGAGGTAACCACGCCCCAGGCTTTTCCAAAAACCCTTCCTGGATGTCTCCAGACCCTGTTGATCCTAGCTCCCCCCAGGTGGAGGTCTCCACCCCAGTTCAGGACACCGCCTGGCCTCCACCCAGGCCTGTTATCTCAGGATGGAATCTGAGTAAAGGGGTTTGTGTGGGCTGTGGGTGACAAAGATTTTTAAAAAAAGGACACACCACTAGGGCTTAAAAAAAGTAGATACTTATCTCATGCAAAAATCTGCATTAATGGCCCCACACTGGAATGGTCAAAGACCCAGGCTGCTGCCCAGCTGGCATGGCTCAGTGATTGAGTGTCGACCTGTGAACCAGGACGTCACAGTTCAGTTCCCGGTCGGGGCATATGCCTGAGATGCAGGCTCAGTCCCCAGTGTGGAGCCTGCAGAAGGCAGCCAGTCAATGGATTCTCTCTCATCATTGATGTTTCTCCTTCCCCCTTCCTCTCTGAAATCAGTAAAAAATATTTTAAAACAAAAAGAACTAGGCTCTTTCTCTGACATCACCACTTGTCTATCCCCCAAACCAAAGTTCCTTTTGTCCCCATTGTAGGCTCTCCAGCAACAGCACCTGCAGTGGATTCCGAGGTGGCCGGCCCGGGTCTCCACTCTCTCCACCAGCTGCGCGACGCCCCTGGCATTTCTATGGCGTTTAACTCCCCCAGGTCCCTTCCAGGCACCCGCAGGCCAGCATGATGGCGCTGAGAGGGCAGACTAGAGGAAGCCGGCAGAGCGGTCTGTCCTGAGACTGGTCAGCAGGCCCCTGACCACGGGCCTCCGTGGAGCAGCCTCCTCATGGCTCTTTCCTCTGTTCTGCCTTTAGACGGCCTTTAATGTTCTGGTCTCGCCCAGCTTCTTCTTCTTTTTTTTCTTTTTTTTTAAATAAAAAAAAAAAAAAATGTTTTTATTGATTTCAGAGAGGAAGGGAAAGGGAGAGAGAAAGAGACACATCCATGATGAGAGAGTGGCTGCCTCCCGCACACCCCACACACTGGGGATTGAGCCCGCAACCCGGGCATGTGCCCTGACCGGGAATCGAACCGTGACCTCCTGGTTCATAGGTCGATGCACAACCCCTGAGCCACGCCAGGCCATCACCCAGCCTCTCAAGGCCCCACTCCTCACAGACCCAACCCCTGGGCCGAGTTGAAACTCACTTGCTCTACCTCCAAGCACAGCGCATCTCTGCCTCGGGGTTTTGTGTGCGCAGAGCCTTCTCCAGGGGCAGCAGCCTCCTCTCGGCCTGTTGGGGTCCTCCCGCCTCAAGCTCCACCTCCTCTAAGAAGCACGCCCTGATTTCTCCCTCTGCCGAGCCCACTCCTGCCACCAGTGGTCTGGAGAGTGGCCCTGAGGCAACTCTTCTTCTCTCAGCTTTCACACGCCGGAGGCCACACGCTGCCCACCCCAGCTCTCTGCCCGCCCGCCCCCGGGCGGAGCCTAGCACAGGGCTGGCCCAGGCTGTGCTAATTGCTCCCTCCCCCTTCTGCTGGCAGAGCTCCCAACAGACTTTAACATCTGGTTCCGATACTCCCCTTCCCCCCTTCCTCCCCCCCAAAATATCTCTCCTGACCCTGACCGGGGTCATGGGCCTCCTCTGAGCACTCCTCCCCTGCAGCCACGCTTCCCTCAGCCACAGCCTTGACATCACCGCGTCAAAACTTCCAGTAGTTGGGAGCCGGTATGGGTATGGGTCTGGTTCTTTCGGGGCCCACAACCAACCCAGACCTGAACACGCCGTGTCAGTAAAGGTTTGCTGAATGAATGGAACATCATACCCAGCTCCTATGCATCCCTCAAAACCCAGCTCAAATGCCTCTTCCCAGCAGCTCTCACTCCCTCCACCCTCATCTTCCCTCGCTCCCTTATAAGTGATTCGAAAGCATGCAGCAGACTCCTCAATTACAGTACATGTCATATATATATGTGTGTGTGTGTGTGTGTGTGTGTATATATATATATATATATTATATTTTATTGATTTTTTACAAAGAGGAAGGAGAGAGGGATAGAGAGTTAGAAACATCGATGAGAGAGAGACATCGATCAGCTGCCTCTTGCACACACACCCCCTCCCCCCACTGGGGATGTGCCCACAACCAAGGTACATGCCCTTGATCGGAATCGAACCCGGGACCCTTCAGTCCGCAGGCCGACGCTCTAGCCACTGAGCCAAACCGGTTTCGGCCACACACAGTTTTGTGTGAGCAGCTTCACACGGCTTCTCCAGCTCTCTGTGGCTCAGGGGGCCTTCTGCGGGGCCAGGCTCAGGCTGCTCTGTGCCTGCGCCCACGGGGCCTGGGTCCAGGAAAAAAAAAAGGGCTCAATAAATAGCTGTCGGTGAGACACCGGGTCCGTCCTGCCCGGCGGGCTCAGCGGGCCTGCCGCTGCCACTTGGCCGTGAGCTTCTGCAGCAGCTGGTGCGGCCGCCGGCGGAACTTCTTCTGGGTGAAGTAGAAGAGGATGGGGTCCAGCACGCTGTTGGCGCTGGCGAAGGGCCGTGTGCCCTTGTAGGCGGCCGCGAAGGCCTCCAGCACGGGGCAGGACACGCCGGGCGTGGAGCGCACGGCCAGGTAGGCCGTCTTGGTGACGTGGAAGGGCAGGAAGCTGACGGCGAAGACGGCGGCCACCACCATGGCCATGCGGGCCGCCTTGCCGCGCCGCTCCTGGGCCACGGGCCCGGCCGGGCCGTCCCGGCGGCACAGGCGGCGGGCCAGGCGCCAGTAGCAGGCCAGCAGGGCGGCGAAGGGCAGCAGGAAGCCGATGACCGTGAGGGCCATGCCGTAGGGCAGGTACCGGGCGGCCAGGGCGGGCGTGCTCAGGTCGTAGCAGACGGTGCGGTTCCGCTGGGTGCCGGTGGAGGCGAAGAAGGCGGTGGGCAGGCACTGGGTGGCCACGGCCAGCCACACGGCCCCGCACACGGCCCAGGCGGCCCGGCGGCCCCCGCGCTTGTGCCAGGGCGCCAGCGGGTAGCAGATGCCCAGGTAGCGCTGGAAGCTGATGCAGGTCAGGAAGAGGATGCTGCCATGCAGGTTGGCGTAGAAGAGGAAGCGCACCAGGCGGCAGGTGACGTCGCCGAAGGGCCAGTGGTCGCCCCTGGCATAGTTGTAGATGAGCAGGGGCAGGGAGCAGGCGTACAGCAGGTCGGCCAGGGCCAGGTTCAGGGTGTACACGGCCGAGCGGGTCAGGGCCCGGCGGGACGCGCAGATCTGGGCGATGACACAGAGGTTGAGCGGCAGGCCGGCCGCCAGCACCACCGAGTACACGGGCGGCAGCAGCAGCCGCTTGAAGTTCTCCCGGAAGACACAGGTGGTCGGCGGCGAGCCCAGAGCCTGGCTGGTGTCGTTGTGCCACTCCATGGCTGCCCGGCCGGCCGGCGTCCTACATCTGGATGGGCTGGGGAAGCAACGCACCACCGGTCAGTGACCACATCCACTGGCCGCCCGGTAGGTCCTTGTCTGCCCCTCTGCCCACCCGAACCATCTCTGATACCCCCACAGAGACCCACAGAGACCCCCAGAGACCCCCAGAGACCCCCAGAGACCCCACAGAGACCCCCAGAGACCCCACAGAGACCCCACAGAGACATCACAGAACCTGGAATACAAGAGAGAAACATATTTGTTGTTCACTTATGTATGCACTCATTGGCTGATTCTTGTATGTGCTCTGACCTGGTATTGATCCCACAACCTTGGTGTATCAGGATGATGCTCTAACCAACTGAGCTACCCAGTCAGGGGTAATTTCTATATATAATATCTATTTCTCACCAGACTTTCTGGTGAACTTTTATTTTTTAAAAAAAAATATATTTTTTTAAATTTTATTTCAGAGAGGAAGGGAGAGGGAGGGAGGGAGGGAGGGAGGGAGGGAGGGAGAGAGAGAGAGAGAGAGAGAGAGAGAGAGAGAGAGAGAGAAACATCAATGATGAGAGAGAATCACTGATCACCTGCCTCATGCACGCCCCCTACTGGGGATTGGGCCCACAATCCAGGCATGTGCATTTGATTAGAATCGAACCCGGGACCCTTCAATTCAAACGCCCATGTTCTATCCACTAAGCCAAACCAGCTAGGGCTGAACTTGTCATCCTTGAAAATCTGAGTCAAATGTCTCTCTTCTGTAAGTGGAGATGGATAGACTTTGATTTGAATCCCAAGTTACTTCCTGGCTATGTGACCTTGAGCTATTGATATACCTTCTCTGAGTGTCAGCTTTCCTATGTAAAAAATGGGGGAATGGTGCAACTACTTCTCAGGATGTTATGAGGTTAGAGGCACTAAATCAGGCGTCTTCAAACTACGGCCCGCGGGCCACATGCGGCCCGCAGAGGAGTCTGACCCGGCCCGCCAGGTTTTCTGGGCAGTGAGCGCAGCCGAGGTGTTACAGTAGGAATTAGTAGTTCATATAGTCTGGCTCTCCAGCTCTCTGAGGGACCGTGATCTGGCCCCCACTTTAAAAAGTTAGTGACTAAATCATGCTATCCAGGGCTTCCCCAGGCACCCTGGAGTTTGGAGATTGTGGTCCTGGGGGCCCTGCCTGTTTGACTCTCCTTCACAGACTGGATCTCCTGAGGAGAAGTGCCGGGTCTGGCGCCTCTCTGTCTGAGTCCAGCCCCGGATCCAAGGCACAAAGACCGTGGTAACTCTTAATGAATCAACATAAACAAAATATTCACACACCGTGAGCCGACCAAGGACAGCATCTACCTCCTCGGCCTGGACTCCACCTTCCAAAGCCAGGGTCCTTCTTTTGGCTGCAGTTTTCTTACCTGTAAAATGAGGGAAGGAGGTGATTCAGGAGTTCCCTAAGCATCCTTCCACTTAGTTTAAAGGTACCAAGGCTGGTCTGGCGGAGCCACCGGAGCCAGAGCGCCCTCTGGTGGCTAGAGTAAAAACAGCTTTCCTGGAGGCAGACAGCAGAGGGAGCAACCACATCAACCGCTTACTTAACGGAGGGGAATCCAGACGCTGTGCGGGGGAAGTGGCTGCTTAATCTTAGCGAATTGGAGGCAGAGCCCAAGTGGGAGTTGGAACCAGAGCCCAACCACCTGACTCAGGAGGGATCTTGGTGTAGCCCATGGACATGGAATGTAGAGGTTCCAAGCCCAGCCTCAGAGAATCAGGCAGGCTCGGTTCAAATCCTGACATCCCTTCTTCCGGGCTGTTCAACCCAGGGCATGCCACTTACCTCTTCTGGGCCTATGTCCTCATCAGAAAAATGTGTGCTAGGCCTGACATGCAGCAGGTGCTTAATAACCGCCATGCCTTGCTGTTCTATCCTACACCTGATCCCTGCACTCAACCCCCCCCCCCCCCCCCCCAGGCTGAGGTCTGGGGGAGCCGGTAGCACAAATGCCGTAAGGATTCGCCCCTGGTGGATGAGCAACTTCCTGTTGCTCACTTCTCAGCTGGCTTTTTCACATTTCACTGGTGTCCACAGAGAATTCACCACTTCACTCCAGTGGACCTGTGAGGCAATGCCACTGAGAGTGAAAAAAAGCCTCCCCCCTCTGTTACAGATGGGAGAAGCTGGGGCCCAGAAAAAAATAAAGTCCTGCAAAGGCACTCAGAGGGTGACAGAGGGTGGAGGCCGAGAATATGGGCTCTGGTCCAGATGCCCAGGTTCAAATCCCGGCTCTGCCACGTGTGAGCTGTGTGGCCCGAGGCTCATTACTCAGCCTCCATGCCTCCGTTTCCCCATCTGTGAAATGGGGTAACATAGTACTGCTTCACAGGGGTGTTGTGAAGATCAGTGCTTGGCCCAGGGCAACTGGTAGCTGTCCCTAATGTGGATGTACCTGCTAAGTGAAGTTACCAGATTTTTAAGTTATAATAGAGCAAAACATAACTCCCCACACTAATTTCTTCCAACTTGAAATTTTTAAAATATATATATTTTATTGATTTTTTTTTTTTTTTTTTTTTTTTTTTTTTTTTACAGAGAGGAAGGGAGAGAGATAGAGAGCTAGAAACATCGATGAGAGAGAAACATCAACCAGCTGCCTCCTGCCCCCCCCCCCCCCCCACTTGGGATGTGCCTGCAAGGTACATGCTCTTGACAAGAATCGAACTTGGGACCTTTCAGTCTGCAGGCCTACACTCTATCCACTGAGCCAAACCGGTTTCAGCCTGAAATTTGATTTTGATGAAAATATTTTACCCGGATGCTGGGCAACAGCAAAATGATGATGTTTGGATTCTCTAGTCTGTTATATCACACTCCTTATCACCTGTAGTTACCTAAGATTCTTGTGGATTTTATCCCATGAGTTAGGGGTGCTGGGTGCCCAGCTCACCAGTTAGGCAGGGGGAGGCCAACGAGGAGGCCTGGCAATACCCCCACTGTAGCAGGAAGGCAAGATCAGTACAGGCAAGATAAAGTTTATCCATTCACCTCTTCACTCATTTGTTCAGGCCATTCTCTCGTTCATGCATTCCCTTTCTGGTTTCTGCATGTTGGGCATTTAATGAGCCTGCTGGACGCATGAGGACACAGAATATGGATGCTGATGAAGGCAGATAGATACAGATCCAGACATACATATGCACATTTACCTATACTTATCCAGGGTGGGGCCAAAGGTAGGTTTGCAAAAATAAACTGTCTATTTTGGTTTGTTAGTTATTTTCTTATTATCTACAGCAGTGGTTGGCAAACTCATTCGTCAACAGAGCCAAATATCAACAGTACAACGATTGACATTTCTTTTGAGAGCCAAATTTTTTAAACTTAAACTTCTTCTAATGCCCTTTGTCAAAATAGACTCACCCAGGTCGTGGTATTTTTAAAAATATATATATTTTACTGAGTTTTTTCAGAGAGGGAAGGGAGAAAGATAGAGAGCTAGAAACGTCGATGAGAGAGAAACATCGACCAGCTGCCTCTTGCACACCCCCTACCGGGTATGTGCCTGCAACCAAGGTACATGCCCTTGACCGGAATCGAACCTGGGACCTTTCAGTCCGCAGGCTGACGCTCTACCACTGAGCCAAACCGGTTTCGGCCAGGCCGTGGTATTTTGTGGAAGAGCCACACTCAAGGGGCCAAAGAGCCGCGTGTGGCTTGTGAGCCGCAGTTTGCCGAGCACGGATCTAGAGTAACAACTATAAACCTACTTTTGCCCAGTAGATGGGCTAGTCTGAGGGGAGACCAGTGCGATCCACAGGATGGAAGAGGCTTTGCAGAGGAGGATGAGGGAGGGACGAGTCCCTGAGGGAAGAGGGGGGTTGCCCTGGGTGCAGAGGGGTGTGAGGCCGCTTGGGGTGGTGCCAGGTGGGGAGGAAGGTGGAGCAGGCAGGGCCTGAGAGGAGAGCCTGCTGGGGCAGCGGGTCCTGGGGAGGAGGGAGCAGGCGGGAGGAGCCGTGCTGCACCCCCGAACCCTTCTTTGAGAGGCCTGTCACCCCCAGACACACCCCAGAGAGCCCTCTGGCTTCCGTGAAGGAGGCAGGGCTGCACGGGAGGGTCCAGGGCAGACCTGCTCCAGGCCTGGCTGTCACCTGGCTCCCTCCTCCATTCTGCCTTCCCAGGACGTAGAAGTGAGCTGCTCTCCCAGTCCTGGCAGGAGCTGGTAGAGAGAGAGAGAGAGAGAGAGAGAGAGAGAGAGAGAGAGAGAGAGAGAGAGAGAGAGAGAGACACCCCCCTGCCTCCAGGCAGCAGCGACACTGGTTCCCTACAGCCATCACATCTATCACCCGTTCTTGGACCCTGAGGCCCAGGCCAGCTCAGACCCCAGCCGCTTCCTGGGCTCCACTACTCTGCCTGTGGTGGAGTTTCTAGATGGTTCTGATTACCTCCTTCCTTGCACCCCTCTGTCCGATGGGGAAAAACTCAAACTCCTGTCCTGACAGTCAAGCGTCTGCTGAGCCTTCCAGCCTCATCTGAAGCACCCAGGCCCCTCAGTGCTGCCCCTCACCACGCTGGTCCCAAGAAGCCAGGCCTCCTCCCCAGCCACGCCATCTTCACCGTTCCCTTCACACAAAGTGCCATTCCACCCGGCTCTGCTCCTCAAAACCCTGTGCCCATCAAGCCCCAGATCCAATCTTGCTTCTTCCTTTCTTTTAAAAAAAATGTTTTTATGGATTTTAGAGAGAGAAGAAGAGAGAGAGAGAGACAGAGAGAGAGAGAGAGAGAGAGAGAGAGAGAGAGAGATTTTTAAAATAGGTTTTTATTGATTTAAGAGAGAGAGAGAGAGAGAGAGAGAGAGAGAGAGAGAGAGACATATCGATGTGAGAGAACATGGATCAGTTGCCTCCCAGATACTGAACCCACGACTGGAATCGAACCGCTGACCTCTGGGTGCGCGGGAAGATGCTCACCCAACTGAGCTCACCAGCCAGGGTGCTTCTTCCTTTTCTGATGCCCCGGTGGGCGGAGTCCCTTCCTCTGGGCACCCCCAACTCTGTGGACCTCCCTTAGGTCAGTGCTAAGCCCAGCCTGCCTGCCCGAGGTCACAGCCCCCGTGTCCAGCCCCAGCCCCTCTGCCCGCCGGCCCGCGGCCCCGGGACCCACCGACTCACATGCAGCCTCCTGTGCCGAGCGCCCGCCGCGGTGGAGTGTGCGGTGGAGTGTGTGGGAGCAAGGGGAAGCCAGCGAGGCTCCACACCCTCAGCCCGGGTGACACCTCCGAGGGGCGGGCGTCTTCCTCTGCTTCCCGGCAGGGCTGTCCCTGACTGAAATAGCCCCTGTGGGGCCACCCCCGCCCGCACACCCCCAACACCACGGCCTGGCGGAAACGGGGCCTAAGCGGAGCAGGAGGTCCAGGAGAGGTCTCCTTCCCGGAACCCTCCCCCACCCCGCAGAGGAAAGAGGGCGACAGGAGTGGAGACAGCGGGGATGGGTGGAGGTGGGAGGGGTGGAGGTGGAGGGGGAGCAGGGGGACCAGAGGCTGCTGGTCCAAGGTCAGCCCTATAGACCGGTGGCTGGCAAACTGCGGCTCGAGAGCCACATACGGCTCGTGTGGCCCCTTGAGTGTGGCTCTTCCACAAAATACCACGGCCTGGGCGAGTCTGTTTTGAAGAAGTGGCGTTAGAAGAAGTTTAAAAAAGTTTGGCTCTCATAAGAAATCTCAAACGCTGTGCTGTGGGTATTTGGCTCTGCTGACTAATGAGTTTGCCGACCACCGCTATAGACTCAGCAGTTTCTTTTTGCCTCAGCCTCTTCTCAGTCTTCCTACCTGTCAAATGGGCAGGCTAGTGACTAAAGAGCGTCTGACTCCTCCTTCAGCTGTCACACCCAGAGCCGTCTTCCCACTCACCCACTCCTCCGTCCCCTACCCCCACCTGGTTCTCCATTTATTCAATAGCTCGTTCGCTGACGTGCCCAATCCTCCACGTGGCTATCCACTTTTGCACCCTCTCCCTCCCTTTTTAGCTCTCTCCCTTTTCTCCAAAAGCATTTATTGCACACCTACTATCTGCCATCAGCTATTCCCCCATTTCCCCGTTAGCCGGCCCAGGGCACACTGGGAGTGATAGGTAAGGGCTGTGGGGTTTGAGGCCATGCCTCTGAGAACTCATCAGAGCACAGTTCTGCCTGAGCCAGTCCTTCCCTGACTCCTCCTGGCTGCCAACCCAGGACTCAAAGCCGTGGGCCCGGATTCTTGTTCTGTCTCAGCCCCTGTTCACGGTGTGATTCTGGACAAGCCCCTTCCCTCTCTGACCTTCCTGGTAGAGTGTGGTCATAATGGCCACCGGCAGGCGGTGAGGCTGAGCTGCCAGAGGGAGAGGGGACCCTTTGGTTCTGTACAGTATAAGCACCGACCTCACCCCCAAACCCATCTTACAGGCCGGCAGAGTGAGGAACCAAGTCAGCGCCCAAAGTGTAGACCAAACCGAGGGCATTCAGGTTTGAATTGCCGGTGAGCACGTGGTCAGCCGTGTATGCATTGAACACCTCCTGCATATTCAGGTCTGCTAGGAGGCTGCTTGTGCAGGTGAGAAGCATGGCTCTCGGGGCCTGATTTGAGCTGTGCTGGGATCCACAAGGGCACGGAGGCCTGGCCTTCAGTCCAGCAGCCAGTCCTCTGCTGAACTCCTGTGGTCACAGCCCGCCAGGGTGTGTCCCCAGAATGGCACCAGCTCCGAGGGCTTCCTGGGGGTGCCAGCCTCGGGGCAGGGCTTGGGACTCGGTTCCTGCCGCCTGCGGGGAGAGCTCAGGTGTTTGGGCTCCTAGGTCCACCTGGGAGGGAGGGACCTGGACAGGCTCCTGGAGGAGACATGTTTGTTGCTGGGCCTTAAAGGGCCAAGGGGACTTGAACTTGGAAGAGGGAAGGGACATCCCAGGCAGGAGGCACTGAGTGGGGCTTGGGCCTACTTTGTGTGGGAAATGAAGGACAAATAGTGTGGCCGGAGCGTGGGATGAGTGAGCCAAGAGGGACCAGAGGGGAGGCCCGAGGGGGCTGACCCATCACAAGACCCCCAAGCAGAGCCCCAGAGCCACTGCCAACCTCTGCCCTCCCCACCGGGCTTCCCAGCCTCTCGGCCCAGTGCACGTTCTCTCCTCTGCCGGGGCGCTTTCCCCATCCCTCGCCGAGCAATCCTTGCTTCTCCTCCCTGTGGTTTTCTCATCTGTGAGCGGAGAATGATCCCTGGTACCTTCCCCACAGGCTGGTGTAAGAATGAACTGAAATGAAACCCTGTATGTGAGGTTTGGCCCTGGCACACAGTAGGCACTCAATAAGCATTTGTTCAATGGATGAGTCCACTCCAGGCCCAATCTAAACGCCCCCTCAGCCCACCACAGTCTCCCTACTTCCTGGGCCCTCAGCACCAAGAACCATTTCCTAACGGCGGAGCCTGGGCCAGATGTTTTGTCCGCAGCTCTGGGAGGGGGAGACGGAGAGATTCTTCTCTCCATTTTACAGATGAAGAAACTAAGACTGAGGCAGGGCCAGTGAGTTTCCCAAGGTGTCCCCCAGCCAGGTGGCATTTCATTAGGGTCTTTCTGACTCTATGTTCCCCCCAAGTTCAGGGGTTCCCAGGGGAGTGTCTTCCCCGCGCTGAGGACCTATGGCCATGAGATGGCGCCAGCAGACTGCTCTGGACCAGCAGTGGCCAACCAGTGGCCCGTGAGGTCAAGGCTGGCGACCGCTGCTCTGGACCGCCGGCCTCACCGTCAGACGGGCTTCTGGCAGGTCTGTATGCAGCAGGGCCTCCCTGTAGGGCTGGCACTGAGCAGCCTCAGGACCAGTTCCCAGCCTCCTCCCCTTTGACTCACCCACAGCCTTCCTCCTCCTTATCATTCCCAGATAAGCTCAAGCCCCATTCCAGGCCCTCACCTGTTCAACAAGAGCCACTGGGGCCATCGGCAGGATGACAGGGCCAGGGCTGAGCCCTGTCCACCTGAGCTAACGGCCCTGGGAGCAGCCACCACCCTCCCCCTCCAGGTGCCCTTCACAGAAACGCCGAGTGCAGTCTCTCACCCCACAGAACGGACAGCCTTTCTACAATTCAGGCAACAGCCGTGGGGCAGCGTGTGCCTGCAGAAGCACTTGCGCTCAGAGGTAAGGAAGCACTGACGAGGGTTGAAGCTCCTTGGGCTGCTTGGATCTTCTGGTCCCAGGACGCCCCTCTTCCTCTGCCCCCGCCCCACGGACCTCGTGTCTGGAAGGGATGAGGAGGCCGGCTGGCC